AGAGCCTCTTCGTACCCTACGGTGCCTCGTCGCAATCTCCTTATAATCAAGTAAAGAACCCCTATGCTATCGCTTTCTGTAGCGACGTATTCTCTCAAAATTCCACTCAAACAATGGTAATCAATAACTGTACATTGCTTTTAAATTAATAAACGCTGTTTTCAACAGGGATTATGAGAATCCGTTGAATGCGATGCCGCTGCCACGGGGTGGTGGGCGCGGCGAAGCGAAGGTACAGAACAGCAGGGGAAATCAGCTGCTCTCTTAATTAACGTGCAGAAAGAAAACGGCAAACTCCCTATGTTCAATTGTCAAGCGAAACACGACAATGAACTTAACAATATGAGGCTAGCTCACTGTCTAGCTTCTCTATGCAGAGGCAAATGCCACTATAGCAGTTAAGCCTGCTACAAGAAGGGAGGGGACGGCAGCAGCTGCCCCGCCCTGGACAGGAGCTTTGAGGTCCTCGTCAGTCATTGCTGTCAGTAATGTTTTTCGTTCTTTGAGCGCTTCGTAATACTCCTTGCTGCAACGCAAAACCAACACATGAGGAAGCATACAGTCGAATTGCAGAAGCAGAAGTTGTGCTGTATCCAGCCCTCTCCTTGATTTAGCCCCCTCACTCAACACTTACTCGAAGGGAGCCTCGTTTGCCACCGCTGCAGGCTGCATCTCACAAACAAGAAATGTGACAGTTTTTTGAGCAGTTCGAAGCTCTTCTCCTCCTCCTTCCGTGCATGTTCCTACGCCGCAGCCAACTTTGGTGCTCTTAGACGAAAGAAGGCGTGCGAGGTTGGCGCCGGCGGGTTTCTGCCAGAACGTCGTCCACCCCCCATCATCTTCAGGGTACGACGGCAGCGCTCTGAGGGAAGAGCAGCAGTTGACATCGCAATACCATGCAGGATCAGCATTTAAATCAATTGGATCAGCGATGATGATGAAGATGAAGCGGGTCTGTGCCGGGCACGAGGTGTTTGAGAGTATGGCGGCTATGATTATGGAGAACTGTTCGTCACATTATCTTCTCCGCATGACATCTCTGTGCCGTAGTCTTTTGCCTTCTTTGATTTTGTATGCATTAGTTTAATGCCTTGTGCAATTACGCTGCATACTTGCTTGTGTGTTGATGTTGTGCTGCGGGCAGTAAAAATGCACTCACTCAAGTCCAGCTTGAAGAGCGTTCTGCACAGCTTCGCGATATTTCTGCTCTGCAGTTCCTGTGAGCTCTGCCAAAAATTTCGTCTTTTTCTGAAAATTCAAGCAGAAGCGGAAAATGTCAAATACATTTTCGCACTTATGCAGAGGTCCATAAACGTCTAAATGCGTATTTATGCTCGCCAGTCAAACATTTAAACGGTGGCTTTACTCACGACTTCTTCGATGGCTTTGTCACACGTAGCGGCTGGCACGCCAGATACCGTCGGTACTGATGTAGTCTTTAGATCTCCAGCCAGG